ACCTTGCAAATAGACTCGTGTTTTCTATGATCATTGAGACACTCGAACTTAGACCACACCACACAAGGATTTTCAAATAATCACTTCATCAATGTTTTCGAAACTATGTCACCAATTTTATGCTACCAAAACATGAAAAAAAGGAAGAAGAGAGCAGTATCCATACCTACAATCTTATTGATGTTGGGTGCATTCGGATGACCGAGAAGGATAAGAAAGGATAGGATTTTTTGTTTTCTAACCCATCCCACCCAAATCCAAGCGATCACTTAATTGGATGGATTATATTTGCTATCCAATTCAAACAATTGTTTGGCAAGGAATGATTCAATTTCATGGAACCCATGGACTTCGATATTTGTTTTTGTAGACATTTATTATTTTACCCATTGATATATCCAATCCAATCAATCATTTGTTTGGATTTCTCACTTAACCTACAAACATCTACAATTTATCACATGATATTTATACATAAAAAAAAATACACTTTAACCTATTTAATTAACTTACCATCACAATCATACAATGTAATAAACATTTATTTTGACGTTCAATCAATCGTCGCCAAATACAATGTCAAAATGTGCATTCGTTCTAATAATATCAAAGTAATAAATCACTCCAAAATGTGCATTGTAGTTCGTAAACTACAAGTTCACATCCCATAAAATCACTTCAATTTAGCTTCTGCATCAATCTCAATTTTTCTCGAACTTTAATTCCAACATAAGAAATTTAGCATTTTCAAGCAATTAATGCAGAAAGAGAGAACATAACTCTTCAAGCAATTGGGCTTTCTACACATCACTGCTGGAGAGAGAGAGAGAGAACAGAACTTAGCTTTCCATTCAATTCAAGATTATTCCACAGAGGAGAGAGAGAGAGAGAGAGAGAGAGAGAGAGGGAGAAAGTGCACACACGCGCACACACACTCACACTCTTCTGCCATGGCAACTCGGAAAAGAGCTTCAGGAGACAGCATCAACTCCACCAAACCAACGCCAGACTCAAACCAACCCAAATCCAAACCCCCAAGAAACCATCTTAACAGACCCAACAATCTTGCAGACCTTAGGAAACTTTAGAGGATCAAGAGGCTCAGGACCCATGACACCGAACAGAGTATCCCTCCAATTAGTAGACCTTGACTGATACAGATTGAAAGAGAGAGGGGGGAAAGGAAAGAGACCTATTCGTCGGAGATGAGGAACACATGTACCACTGACCTTCGTCGGAGAACAGAGAGAGCGAGAGACCTCCTAGAAGCTTCCCCTTCGCCTTCATTGTCGTCGTTGCCAGTGTACTTCTCCGCCAAGGATCCTTTTGACGAATGGTTGGACGAAGCGAAAAGAGTAGGAACGTTTGTCTATGCAGGGTAAAAATGTCATTGTATCTCTTATCCCCTCGGCTAGGTTTGTAACTCAAGGGGGAGATGAATTACATTCAACCCGTGTAGCTCGGACAAAAAACACTGTAGCACTCGGGTCAAGGTTTGACCCGAGATTTATATCCTCACTCAATTTTTACTTTTCAAACAAGGGTTTTATGTGACTCGTTGTCTTATTAGCCTATGCATGCGAGTGTTAACCCACTTTAACCTACTTACCAATCAAATTCGTTATGATTGAGAAAGTATTGTGATAATTTGACATACCAAATTTCATAACCCATAGACCAAAATTTTGAAGACTTTTTGCCTTCTTTCTCAAACAAACCATTAATCCATAAAGTAAAAAAGTTGATTTAATATAAATGTTAGTGATTGAAATAAGGTAAAAAAAAAAAGTTAAAATCTAGAGTAGTACTGTAGCAGTGTATGTAATAATAAATCGAGAAATAAGAAATTAAATTTTAAAAATAAGAGTTTTTTTTGGTAAAATATTAATTAAATAGATTTGTCGTGTCAAAATTGAACTATGTATTTTACTTGGTTGCAGCAAGAACTATTTAATCCTAGCCCATTTTTTTCGTGTCGTTGAGTTCCTATCTTACTCAGTGAGTAATTCACCATCTGAAGGGGAAATATATACGAGAGTTGTCTTTCTTCTTTGCCTGAAAAATGGAGGACATGCTTCAATGCTTGGAAAATGCAGGCACAAGTTGCTTTCACTCGAAGAATTCGGATGTACAGTTTTTGGCTTGGCATTATATATGCTGTTAATTACATATGTGCATGGTTTACGAATGATTACGTATGCTATTGAAATAAAATTGTTTGAAAATCTGATGACCAAACACAAAGATATGCATTTCAGCCGGGTGCGGAGGTTAGCAAACACTTATCATGGTCGGGGCAAGCATGAACAATATAATGAATGTAATGAATCATATTTTTCTCAATACATCCAAATTAACAATGTAGTGAGAGAGAGAAAAGGAGGGGGCGGGGGTGAGAAAGAGATATAAATAAAAAGCAAGAAGTATATAAGGATCGAATGGCTATGGTGGAACGTATGACACTATTTGGTTCATGGGAGTGGGAGCCAAAGATAGGGTCGATACTGCAGGAGGTTTTCTTCCGATTTCTTTCTCGTAGTGATCCATAGGTTCAAGAATTGCAGGCTAATTCTGAGTCAGGGTGGTTGATGGAGGCTGGCATAGCCTTAAAATTAAGGGCAATATTCAAATGAGAAAAGAGTAGGAGGTTCTGAATTCAAATGTTTATCGTAGGGGCTAGTCTGGATTAATTATAAATAATGCCACTGTCGAGATTTCTCATTGGATCCATGGTATGACATTACTCCGAGTATGATTGGACCGTTAGTGCAGTGTAATTGTAAAGTTTTGTAAAATCCTCTCTTTATCTAGCTTTGGAGAACGTAATGTTGAAGATGGTGTCGTCCACTAATTTGAACACAGTTTCTTTAGAATTAATCAAAATACCAATTTTTCAGGCTAATAGTAAGGCTAATCCCAATTTAGGATGGGCCAAAAATAGGCATATGTGATGACCTCTCACTCCCTATAAATATACTAATCACATATAAACCCTTTTATATCCAAATAAAAAAAAAACATGGCTAGATTTGACCTTGCATTTTCATCCCTAACTCTTTCTCTTTTGTACATTGCCGGCACGGCCATTGCCACCACCACGACAACCTCAATTGAGGAAGCATGCAAAGCCACAAGATATCCTGCAGTGTGTGTCGAAACTCTCCAAGCCCACGCTACCGATCCCCAACCAAGCCTACAGGCGTTGGCCGAGACCACATTGTCCGCAGGCATAGCCAAGNCGACAACCTCAATCGAGGAAGCATGCAAAGCCACAAGATATCCTGCTGTGTGTGTCGAAACTCTCCAAGCCCACGCTACCGATCCCCAACCAAGCCTACAGGCGTTGGCCGAGACCACATTGTCCGCAGGCATAGCCAAGATCAAGCAAGCGAAGACATTCGTGTCGCAGATGACCAACGGCAAAGGCCTGAGTGNCCACGACAACCTCAATTGAGGAAGCATGCAAAGCCACAAGATATCCTGCAGTGTGTGTCGAAACTCTCCAAGCCCACGCTACCGATCCCCAACCAAGCCTACAGGCGTTGGCCGAGACCACATTGTCCGCAGGCATAGCCAAGATCAAGCAAGCGAAGACATTCGTGTCGCAGATGACCAACGGCAAAGGCCTGAGTGCCAATGAGCATGCAGCTCTAAAGGACTGTTTCGACGGAATGGGCGATGGCCTGGACCAACTGACGCAGTCGGTCCCGGAGCTCAGAAAAATGGGCCAGGACCAAGGTGGAGACTTTTTGTGGCATAAAAGCAATGTTCAAACTTGGGTCAGTGCTGCCCTAACAAATTATAGTGATTGTTATGAAGATTCTGATGAGCCCACTGCTTTGAATGGTTCTATTAAGAGTGCAATAAGGGGACATGTTGAACCTGCTGCACAAGTCATCAGTAATGCATTAGCATTGGTTAATCAACTTCAGCAGGGCCACTGAGGCATTCATGTGATTATTCTAAGACCATAAGGCCTAGTTTTGTTGAAAAATTTTAGGCCTATTTTGGTTTGGTTTTAGATTACAATCTAAATGTAAATGCTGGAGTTTTATTCGTCCTAAATACTTAATAATAACATGATCAATTATCATGAATTATAAACGAGTCGGATTAGTAATAGACACAAATAACCTATTTAATGGGCATTGTATGATTTTGTTTATTGTTTTATTTATTGATCTAGTATTGTATAAAATTTTTAAATTGTTTGAGCAAGGGGGAAATTGATACAAAACATCTTGACAATGGAGCCTCTCATTAGTAAAGAGAGACGATCGAGGAGGAAAAATTTATTTAAAAATACTGGGTTACTCATATTTCTTAAATTCAAAAGACAGTGAGCTAGTAGACGGAGCCAAGGAAAGTGCAACACAACAAAACAAAACAGGATTCTAATATAGTGAAACAATTGTTCTTATGGATGTAAGTAAATTTTCTGCATGTAAATCCCGTGTGCATTGTATGTAATTGCTTTTTTGTCTTGGTTGCATACTATATTACATGTTTACAACATTTTAGACATACAAAATTACCCATAATTTGTGAGTATTGAGTAAATCAAGATGTTATAAAAATTGAATTTTAAATTTGGAGTTATTAATTCGTATAACGTTTTCATTCAAACTACCCTAATAAATAGACGGGAGCATATTTGAAGACTCATCTTATATACTATAGCAATGTAAGAAGGTTTTGATGATCTTCAAACTCTCATCCTTATTTTTAATATATATTTTTAATTTTTTAGTATTTTCGTAACACTCAGATCTTTAATCGTTATATTTCATAATTTTCTCTCTTAACTTTTCAACTTCCTCTTTAATCATACTTGACAAATTAAACGGTACAGCAAGATGGGATAAAAGGGAAGTTTAGTAGGATCAGATATAGATGGTCAGAGAGTGAGAGAACATTGAAACATAGGATGTGATAGAGGAGACATAAATCCCATATATTGCATGAGTCATTGCTAATATACGTATACCGATATTGAATAACAAGAAATAAAGCTTGATGGGTACTTCTCGAACTTATATAATGCAGCTACCACTCGACAAAGTATAGCCACCTACCCAAAATTTAGCATGGCCAAACCATGCCCACCATCACCTAAAATAGAATGTTTTGACATGCAGGGTTGCAATCATGCTTTATAGTACATATTTGTACACTTAATTGAATTGAACCTTCGAATTCATTGTCAATCAGATGATAAATCGGATGATTAGGACGTGCTAGATCTTACCATACGCTATAAAACCTTCAATTTAAAGTTACGATTAAGTGACAAATCTCTAAGATAATATAATTGTATACTAAGTATGATTTTTTAAGAAAAAAATTAAATTTTTACTTTTTATTTTATTTCAATAAAAGATAAATAGAATACGAACTTTAATCGTAAAATTTAAAATATTTGATATTTTATCTTTGATTGGAGTATTTTTTGTCTAATTATAAGATTTAAACTTAAGGGATCTCAGTATTATATACCTATAAATTTCAAATGAATCTAAGTGTAATTTATTAATGAATATATTTACAACAGGGGTCTAAGTGTTATGCGCGTACAAACTTTAAAGAGTCAATATGTAATATTTCAAATGTCAAGGGGTCTGAGTGATAAGTGACAAATCTCAGGGGATTTAGGTGTAATTCTCCCTAAAGTTTTTTATTTTATTTTTTTTATTCTTATCTTATTATTTAAACCAATATTTATTGCTGTTAATCAATTATTTTTCAAAGTTTTTTTTTTTGGTAAATAATTCTTTTTAAAAAAATTCACAGTAATAAATAGCTAAGCGCCATACAGCTGTGCGTGATTGTTACGTTTCTTTGTCTTAAAGCATAAGCACCGACACAAGATCCGAACCGTCGGTAGCCTAAATTTAATGTGACATAAATAACCTCGACCTCTTCACTTCCTTCACTTTCTTGTGTAGATCACGCCCTACAGTTTTAGGTAGAATTGATAATTCAACTCAGCTTTGCGAATTTTTTTTTTTTTAACAAGTTTAAAAAAATGTTTAAATTTGATTTGTTTAAAAAAATAAATCGAATTCGAACTGAATCTCAAATGAGTCAAGTTTACATATAAACGAATTAAATTTTACGATCTCAAACTGAATCTTATAGGCTCGTTATTATTCAAGTTTAATTTGTTAAGGGATAGAGTTGAATTTGAACTGAAATTGAATAATTAGACTCGAATACCAAATATGGTTTTGGACTATTTCAAGGGGCCACTAGCCACAGTTGATGGAGACTGACCCCGAAGCACTGTACAACGTGAATTGTGTTTGAGAAAAATTGTTAGTAGGTATCCAATGAATTTAGTTGTATCCGTCGAATAAATTTATTATATTTTATATTATAAGTATTATAACTAATCCTTAAATTTTTATCTCTAGTTTTAAAATGGTACATGAACGTCTAATTATTTTAATTTACTCACTCAATTATTAATTTTATTCTAAAAAATTCTTTTTGTTCATTTAACAAATTAAAACAAGCTCAAGGATTTGTCCGTCCACATCATGTGTTTCTGTTTATTCTAACAATTAAAATTAACAAAAAGAATTAATTGACACGAAGTTAGTAGTTTAGGGAAGAATCTAGACAACATATTTTTATCACACATTTACATTTAAAAGCCTAAATGAAATAAATAAGTTTGAAATTTTAAAATATCAAATGTATTAAATGTGCTGACGTGGATGAATCTTTACCATTCAAAGAGAATTTGGAAATTCAAATGTATTTATTTATTTACCATAAAATAAATATTAATTTAAAAATTCAAAATATGTATTTATGATGATATTTTCTTATTAAAGTCGATTCAAAATATTAAGTTCACACACAATTGAAAATGAGATACTTGTGACAATAAAGTGAGAAAAATATGATAAATTAATTCCCATAATTTATTAAAATAATAATGAATTACAAACAGTAAATTGAAAAAAAAAGAGTAAAATAAGTTAAAAAGCGAACTTTAACGCTTCTTAACTAAAATTTATAACCCATAAAAAAATATAAAAAAAAAATTACGAAAACATTTTAGCTCTTTTTGCCCTCCTCACCACCTTCTTCCAAGTAAGCCTTCTTCCTTCTCTCAGCCGTACCTAACAGACAAATCACCAAGAAACACGTGGCATAAATGGCGTCAACTCTCCAACTGGTCTTGGGCGGTTGACGCAGCACAGCCCTGTGAAACACCGTCATGTAGTAATGGAGCCCAACAGAAAAGCCCACGAAAGTCTGGCCCAGGCCCAACAACTTAGAGACCAGCCCAGTCTCAGTGGAGAACACCAGAACCAGGTACATCAACAGAAGCAGAAGGTACAACACATAAGCAAGGGTTTGGAACACCTGCACACAGATGTATGTGGACTGCGAAGTAGCGTAGAAAAACCTTAGAGGCTCGAGGCCAGTGACCAGTGAAGATAGGCAGAGGATAGAGAAGTATATAGAGAGATAAACTTGGATGAAGATCAAGAGCTTTTGGAGAGAGAAATAGGCTTTGATACGATTGAATATGAGAGAGACTAGAATGAGAGGGATTAAAATGAAGGCAAATGAGACTACGGAGGCAATGGTAGGTGCATATTTATTACCCACTATAGGTTTGAACCCTTTTGTGATCTCTTTGTTGGCTTTTGTGAGATAAATCTTGGAGCTTTTGGAAATTCTCTCCATATCGGGCAAGAAAGTTTCTTGAAATTTGGAGGGTAGATCTCTGAATTCTGAAACTAAATCATCTTCATCTTCTTTATCAATCCAACTTGGTTGTTTTGGGGTCTTTTGAGGCTTCGTTTTTTTGTCTGTGACCTGGGTTTTGGATTGGAGTTCACTACTGAGCTTCTTGTCTGTTTGGGATTGGTTTAGTTTTTTGGTGATGGGTTTGGTTGTTTTGTTCTTGGGTGTGCTTGGTTTAACCAGATCTGAGGATTTCATTGTGACAAGTGTACTGGATTTGTTTGAATTTGAGGGCTTTGAGGTGGAGTTGAGCCTTTTGAACTGGGTTTTCATGGTGGAACTTTCTTTGGTTGAATCTGCGGTGGGTTTGATGAGTTTGGTTTTGTTTTTGGATACATTAATGGAGGTGGGTTTGAACAGTTTGGTTTGGTTTTTGGTTGAACTAGTTGTGGTGGGTTTGATGAGTTTGGTTTGGTTTTTGGTGGAGAGTGTAGTGGATTTCTTCTTAATTATTGTCTGATCTTCCTTCTGTACCTCTAACAGAACTCTTCTTCCAGAAAAGACATTACTTAATGGTTGGGTTTCTGTGTAGGCAGAAGAGAAGATGGAAGTGAAGACAAAGAAAAGAAGATAAAAGAGGGGTACCTTTCTGCAACTGAAGTGTTGAAGTGGAGCCATGTACTGAAATCTGTGTTGCTTTTGAAGATCTAATGGGGCTTCAAAGGCGTAGAGCCTAAATTTTGGATCTAGAGTTAACAGAGGAGAAAGAGTGAGAGAGGGCGGAGAGAGAAAGGATATGACTGCGATTTATAGTTGTGCGTAAAAGGGCAGTAAAACTATGGGAACTGGGAAGCCTTCAATGAGGGAGTCGAAGAAGATTGTATCTGTCACATGGCGCGACTAGACAACCATGCTTTCCTCTTTTCTTTCTCTCTCTCCCCGGTTTTAAAATAAAGTTTACTTGTTATAATTAATTAGATTTCTAAATTAAGAATAATATTTTTATAAAATACTCTCTCCCCGTTCTTAAATATTTGTCATTTTACATAATTTTTTTTATTCCATAATATCTATCGTTTAATGAAATTAAAATATAATTAATATTTTTTTTTAAAATTTATCCTTAATTTTTCAGTGCATTAAATTTGGTAGAGACTAAGTGTCTTTTATATTCTTTTCATTCTCAATACGTATTGGATAAGAATATTTTAATCTTGTACAATTATTTTTTACTTTTATTGGAGCTATTTAATAGCTTCTTTAATTTCTGTGTAAAAACCTTAAACGACTGATATTTAAAAACAGATGAAATAATATGTAACAAAAATACTATTAGAGCTCGTTTAAAGAATATTTAATTAAAATCCAAGAGAGGCAGGAATTTCGTCAAATTTACATGAAATTAAAGGTTATGAGTTTAAATTTAGCCTATCGAGTTCATAAATAGATTGACTAATTAGAACTTTTTTGGGCAATAAACTTTATGACTTTTAGGGTCAAAGGCTCGCATAGATCTTTGATTTTAATTTGTTATATTGTTTTGTCTCGATGTGAGTCAGTTTAGCCTCTAAAATTATTAAAAAAAATAATTTTTTTCACTTCGATAGATATAGACCCATGATAGTTTTACACTGAGTGTTCATTACTCTTTCTCTATACCTTCTTGTTGCAGAAGAGAAATAATCATAGAACATTAAAATTAAACAATTTCGAGAAATTGGATACTAATATGATTGACTTTGAGAAGAGGCATACTAGGTTTTTAATTTTTTTTTTTGTTCTTACAACTTTGAGAAACATGATCAATTTACATGTAGGTGCCAAAAGTATTAGTCATTTGTTAGTTATACATGGGTGATAATACATTAGAGCATTTGACTTTTAATAAAAAAAAATTTCATGTTATTCGCAATCAATCATTTTTATGTAATTGATTTATTTACACAAAAATAATACTTGATGCTAATGATATTCTATATTCAAAACTAAATATCTTTTTTAGCGGATGTAGTCTCAAATGTTGGGAAAATAAACTCCAATCTAGGACAAAGAGAAGAGGTCATAAAGAGGAGCAGGTAACACCTTTGACAAATAATGTTCCATGCAATGCAACATTTGGATTGATTTTTATTTTGGATCTTGGAATATATTGTTGGATTATATTTTGTGTCAATTTGGTTGAATTATATGTTGTTGCGGTAATGTTAACTATTGGATTAAGGCAGGATTGTGACGTGATGACGAGTTTGATAATTTTAAGATTTTATTTTTAGAGGAAATTTTATCAAATATTATAATGAAATAAAAGGGCTAAATTAATTTAATGAAATTCGGTCGGTGCTCAAATGGAAGTTTATGTTAATTTTTTTATACTATAAAATATATTTAGACACTAACATTAAATATGCGAAGGGAAAGTATTATACAATGTGCACGTGAGAACCATTGGTTTCTCACTAAGGAGTAGCTCAATTGGGAGATAATAAATCTAATTGCTACCTTATAATAATTCAGTTTCAACTCTGCAGAGTCAAAAATGCAATACTAACAGGTAATAACGTATTAGCAATCTATGCTTTAAAAAGTCCAATGGGACTTTACAGAGTGTAATTTTGTAATAATAATGCATCGAGTTCTACCCCATGTAGGTCTTAGGATTGAAACAGGTTGACTTATTATACCAAGGTAGGAGTTGTCAAAAAAAAAAAAAATTGTACCATGCCATTTATAATTTTTATTGGTATATTTTTGAATCAACGACAAGGTACTGATAAAAAAAGTTGCTGCAAAAATGTCAAAATCCTCAGTTATAAAAATACCTACAAATATGATAAAAAATAGAGGTACCACACATTAAATTTTCATTTATATTGTGCCATGGTGAGATTATATTTGAGTTTTAGATTGGTGCAGTGTTTATGTTTTTTTTTTTTGTGTTATTTATAAACCAAAAATCAAAGGACTAGAAACCTTTTTTTACTATAAAAATTTATATTATAGCTCAATCAAAAATTTTAAAAATATAAAAAATATGACATTTTTGGTACAATACCAGTGACACGTGTTATTCATTCATGATACTAATTCGGCCTATTTATTATTCAAGTTAAAATTTTGTATTATTTTTTAATTTTTATCATATTGAGTTTATGTAATATTGTGAATTTTCAGTTTTCAGGCTTCAATATCGGAGTTCATTTTGAGATTGAGGTACATAGTGACGTCTCTTGTTGGGTCTTTGATAAGGTATGGTTGGTTTGTTAATCTTAATCCAACAACTGACCTTGCTCTAAGCGATATTCAAATTATGATTCGCTTAGCCAATTTAGCGAGATCTTATTTGACAACTTCATCCATAATTTGAAGTTGATTTTGCTTTCTCTTTCATTGTAAATAATCTGTTTAAAATAATTAAAAAATATATACATTAAAATAGAACTGACTCTAATTATATCTAAGACACAAAGGTCAGTCCAGAATCTTTTGTATCGATTCTTTTCAGTGTGTCCCACATAAAAGCATTGGATGCCTCCTATGGACCCCTGCAAATTGGAAGGTAAGCAGGTGAAGCAACAACCACCGTCCGATTGTGGTGTGGGACTTGAATACTCTCTATTTAAATTATTGGACCTGCGAACCACTAAGACGGAATGTAGTCTAGCTTAGTCGACCACCAAGCATTTAAAGGCTGAAGGACCGCTTAGGGTGACAATTCGTGCCGTATTAGGTGATTTACGTATTGATATTTTCATGTTATGGTAGTGCCAAATTTTGCAAAAAAATTAATTAATTTAGCATATTTTAAGTGTTACATATTAATTCAAATTATTTATTATAAATATTTAATAATTATATTAATTTTAAAATTATATCGTATTAAATTTGTGTTGTCTAATCAGTGTTGTAGGCTACACTGAAAGACCAAGTGACTTATATTAAAACCCAAGTGTAAACAGCATCAAAAGTTGTTCTTTTTTGTGACTTCACACCTGTCAAATGTCCTTGTAATTCTGGCTCAACACATAAACAATAATATTATTTAAATTTAATTTATATTAATTATTTGAGTGATTGCAAATCTTAATAAATATTAAAATTTATTACCAATTAAGTCAATAAATGAAATACAAATAATATTGCTTGGATACAAAACATTATAAGACCCTTTGTTTGGATAATTTTTTATGATGCATAAAATTGACTATGCACAATCAAATCAGCCGGCTGTGTAATGTAAAACAATTAATGAAATAATTAATAAAAAAAGATAAAGATTGGATGATTGAGTTTAGGTTATCCAACCATTGAAGGTAACAACAATGACTAAAAAACTCTATTAATAAGAGAAAATAAGAAAGTAAGAGAGAGAGAGAAAGAGCAAGAGGGACGTTTAAGGTGAGCTGTGTGTGATATGTCCCCATGTGGAAGGAATTTATAATTTATAGGCATAGAGCCCTAGTTGAAGTGGTGACGTGAAAGTCAAGATACTACTTTATTAGGGAGGTTAATTGCAATTGGGAATGTGTATTATTTTAGAGTAATGGTTATTTTGATGATAGCTCTCCCGCGTGCGTATCCTGATGATTGTTCTCTCTCGTGCATTGACTCTTGAGCTTCAAATTGAACTAAAGTCGTAGACTAAGTTTGACTTGCCTTTTGATGATTTGGGCTAAACCTAAAAATTAGGCCCAAGCTAAGTCTAGATCTAAGCTCGTTATTTGTTCCCCATGCCCCAAGCTCTAGTTGTGATACAGAGGTTAAGGACATAAGTGAGCTCCTTCATTTGAATAGACCAAGATATCTTATTCTGCACGGTGACTTCTTCTCTTCAACTTTCTTCCGTTGTATTTTCAAAGTTTATTTCCTCATTTGGTAGCACCATTGCTAGACACCCATGGTGCTAACAAACTTTCATTGGATGTGAAAAAGCTCCGTTCCTTTACAACATAAATCACTTTTTCTCTTTACGGTAGCAAAAGCTTATGGTTCCAGAGGGTGAGCTTCCCATATTCATTCATTTTCTTTTACTTTTATTTTTTTAATTTTATGTTTCACACAAATTTTTTTTAAAGTAAGCCCCGAATAATACTAAGCATTCAAAAGTCAAAAATCATATATATTAGTTAAACTCAAGCTCCATTGAAGAGAGTTGGACTTAAGAATTCCAAATTTATGATGTGCTCCATAATTCCCTCTACTCTACTTATATTTATTTTTATTAAAACACGATATACAATTAGAGTTGATGGTAATTTTTGACACAACACGATAATACAATATAAAATTTATAAGTTAACATTGAATATTATTGGATATGAACCCAAAAAAAAATGGTCCACTAACTTTAACCCGACCTATTTCTAATTATTTATGTTTGTATTTGTGTCAAATATAGTTCGACTTATATCATACATAATTAAGTTTGTACCCATTAGTTTATTAAAGGGGCTTCACCAATCAATTTGATTATGACTTGAGACTGCTAACACTAAAATTATATACAAGTGCTCAGCTACTTTTGGAAAACATCATGTAGTCTTTGATTACTGTCAACAGACCTCGGCATCATCCAGCAGGAAGCTTTTTGTTTTTTTGTTTTTTGTGATGCTTGGGCCATTTTGCTTGTCCAATCATGTATTGGGGACATGGCTATCTGAATCCTGAATATCTTAGGTACTACCAATAATTTCGTGTCAGTAGAATTTTTGTAGTATCAAAAATTAAATATTAATTATATAATATTT